TTTCGGAGGCAGGCAGGGGAAGGGGCGTACCGTGAAGCTGGGATTGCTGGGCTGGATCCTGAGCTCTGCCAGCACCCAGATACCGTTGGTGAGCTTCAGGGACTGGTAGAGCATGTCTTGGCCCTCCACGTTCCTCTTGGCTATGGTGAAGATGTTGCTGCCCTGGAGCTTGCTGCTAACGGCATCTGTGCGGGAGGAGAGAGCTGCTGCTCCTGCTTCATCTCTTCCTCCCTCTCCCTCTCCCCAGCCCATGATGCAGCACATCCAAAACCCGCTGTCCCCGCACAGCGAGGAGAAAGGCTCTATTCAACCCACCTCCCAGGTCCTCCCTGGAGCAAGCAGGCAACAGCCCAGAGCTCCATTCAGAAGCGGAGCCGTCCCGCTTTGTTCCGCAAAGGTCAGCCCACTGCTGCCAGTGGGACTGAAAGGACTTGGCTGTCCCCACCTGGGGTTTGCACATCCCACTTGGCACCACATCTCCCGGAGCAGGATCCGAGGGAGCGAGGAGGCCTAGGAACCCAGTTCTGCCCACAGCTGCCTGCTCTGCCCATGAGCACGGGGCCACTGCCCCATCTGTGGGCTGGCCGGGACACACTGCTGCGAGGCTGGGCAGTGTCCGGGCTGCAGGATCCAGATCGGCTTCTCTGCTCTGAGACCAATCCCAGGGTGGGCACAGAAACTGTCCCCAGCAGCAGGGACATCCCCACCAGGCAGAACATCTCCAAAACAGCCAAATTTTGACAACTAGCCAACGGCAAGCAAAGCAGGAGTTCCTTCCTGGAGATACGGGGTGGGCACAGGGGGGATGGAGCTCCTGTCTCCCCGCAGCCTGAGCTGGGATAACTGGGATGAGCTGGTCACCAGCGGCCAGCCGTGAGCTGAGCCAGGTCCTTCCAAAGGGTTTGGACCCACCTGCGTTGAGAGAACAGTCTTTGATCTGGAACTGGGCCTCGTTCTCATTGGGAATGTCCTTCCAAGTGGCCAGGAACATCTGCCGCTCTGCAGCGAGGAAGGAAACCAACCCAGTGATGGAGCTACAAGATGGGCTGCTCCCCAAAAGTGGTACAACTCAGGGGCCACGCTGCCACGTCACTGGTGGCTGAAGGGATCTCAGCCTGCCATGCTGCCAGCCCCTCCAGCAGCTTCCCAAAACCAGCCTCATCAAGTCAGAGGAAAGCTTTTTGGGGTTAGCAAGCTATGGTGCCTCGGGGAGGAGGCTGGTGGGTGCCAGGGAAGGCAAAATAAGCAGCGAGTGAAGCGAGAGCTCTCCCTGGCAGCGTGGAGTTAGAAGGTGGCTCAGGCCATCTCCTCAGGCAGCCACAGTGTGGTCATGCTGGCACAGCAGTGTCCCTGTCTGCTTCAGACTGCCAGGGGCAGCTGATTTCCTGCTCTGTCCCCAGGGAATGTGGACAGGAGGATTTCAGGGGCTGGGATGGCACCTAAGGACCCGTGGGAGGAGCAGACCTTGCAAGAGCCACAGCCACCCACGCTCCAACTCACCCATCTTCCCGTCCTCCACGAAGAGGATGTGCAGCGGGTACAGGGTGCTGAAGTAGAAGACGTCAATGTTGTTTTTCACCGCGACCTGGGGACGGGAAGGACATGGGGACATCAACACCTCCTCTGACCTACAGCGGGTGAGCGGTTCCCAAAGCGAACATCCCATCCCGTCATACACCACTGATCCCTCTCGAACTGTGCCACTCCAGCAGGCATCAGAAATGAGAGACTGGCAGCTGCCTGAAGGAGCCGGAGAGGCCAGCATCCATGCCCCGCATGGTGGCACGCTCTCAGGAGTGCCAGCGTACCCAGCATATAGGGGAAATGGGGGAGCTGCCAGGGCTGCACTCCCTTAGCCTTCTCTCCCAGCTCCCTCTTGGGAACTGCAGCTCCACCATCTCCCCCTGTGCTGGCACACGGTGAGCAGCTGCTCAGCCGAGGCTCGGCTCTGCTCCTGTCAGCAAGGATCCTCCTCCGTGCAGGACACAGCCTGCTTGGAGCTGGATGTCAAATCGGAGTCAGACCAAGCTCTGACAGCAGAGACGGTTCCTGCCGTCACATCTCCTTCTGGCTCCTGTCCGAGGGAGCAAACCCACCCTGGGGCATCCCCTGCCCAGGAGACCCCCAGGCGTTCCCCACCTGGAGATTGTTCAGAGGGTCCATCTTCATGACAGAGCCGACGGTGTTCAGCGGAAGGGAGATCTCCACGGACTGGTTGGGGGCGAGAGGCGCGTGGACCTGGAGAGGAGCTGCTGGGGCCAGGCCGAAGCTGGACGGACATGAGGAGAGCAGGAGGTCAGGGCAGTGAGCAGCAGCTGATGGCAGAGGGCACTGCCCGCCCGCTCCGGGCTGACCTCAGGACTCCCTGCCTTCCTCCACCCAGACCCCAGGAACACCCCAGCTCATCTTGCTGCCCCTGCAAAGTCCAGGACCAGGCTGGCTCCAGCCCTGCCCACCCTGGGGCAGAGCCCACCCCAGTGCCCGCTCCATGCTGCAGGGTAGCCCTGCAGGTAGCCCCAAAGCTTCCTCCCTTCCTCCCACACAGACTCACACCCGTTTTTAGCATTCCCACACCATTCCCTCAGGGCTATCCCTTGTTGTGACCCTCTGAGGGAGAAGGAAGCATCGGTTCACCAGGAGGACAATTAACAGGATGGTGGTCAGACCCCAGAGGAACTGCCTCTTCAGTCAACTTCTTAGAGGCTTTGGTTTGATGATCATCACCACCACAGCCATCAGAGAGAGAAGGTCATCATGTGAGGCTGTTCCCAAGCCCTGCAGCCCTTTCACAGCCCCTTCCTCCCACCCCTTTCCACAGGCAACTGCACCAGGGCTGAGCTCGGAGGCGTCACGCAGCAGCTTCGCCGGTCGCTGCTGACGCAGCCCAGGAGGGATCTCACCTGTTGCGGTTGAACTGGATGGCGAAGTCGGACATGACCTGCAGGGCTTTGTTCGTTAGCACGAGGTCCATGGAGATGGAGCCCACCTGCCTGCTGAAGGTGCCGGAGATCTCCAGCCCCTTGGCTTTCATGGCAGGGAGCCAGACCTGGGTTAAGGAGACAAGAAACCCTTGGGGTTTCACCCAAAGCGAACCCTTCGGTGCTCTCCAGCCTGGCAGAACCGTGCAGGGTGTTTGTAAACCAGAGGCATTTCACGGCTACGCACGCAGTCGGCACAGGCCCTCACCCCAGCCTGGGCTGCGGGACAATGTTGCCGCAGAATCCTCCAAACCTCACCCTGCACACCGGGAAACAGCTCAGCCCCAAGCCCAGGGCTGGCAGAGATGTGACCTGACACATCCCTGCTCTCTCCTCCGCTCAGGGCTCCATGCCACCCAGAGGACCACGCAGACTGCCTCTGCCCCACATCCCTGTGCCCAGACAAGCGCTATAGTGTCCTCTCCAGCTGCAGACCCCCACCCTCACCCATCTTTCTACCACACTGGGAAGAGGCGGTTCATCTTCCACCTCCTCCTGGGGAGACCCTGCAGCACAGAGCGGG